TTCTAACATTAAAACTGAATTTTTAAATATAACTTTATATAACTTGTACTAACATTGTTTCTCCTTACTCTTTTTTTCGGTAAGTGCCATTCTGTATATATATAGTAAATAGCTAGTTCATAAAGTCTTAAATCTCCTCTGCTGTATTTAAGGAACACTTATTTTCACATATTTACTTAGAAGGTCACACAATTGATGTTTTCTCCTCCTGTTTGGCAGGAAGCAGTAGAGAAATATGAGGAAGTGCTACATAATTTAGAATTTGCCAAGGAGCTTCAGAAAACCTTTTCTGGACTGAGCCTAGACGTGAGTATGTTTTCTTTGCTTTTCCTGAAACTGGTTGAAACCACTGCTCTTGAAGAAAACAGCTCAGATCTAATAATTGTGTTTGGTTACCATCCATCTAATTTCTGCTGATACTTTATAGGAGATGGGAGGTTGAGGAACAGTAGCTAATGAAGGACTAGTTTTTCAGATTTCTGTAGTCTCCACGGAATACAGATGGCATCGGAGTATGAGAATTGGGAATAAAATATTAGTTGTTTACTGTGTGTTATTTCATTATGGAATTTCAGGAATAATTGACAAGAGGAATTAAATACTATTTTAGGATATGGACTATATTATATATGGACTTATAAATTTGTATAATATAGGTTCACAGTGTAACAATATTTAATATATAAGGAAACAGAGAATTGGTACTCTTTGAAAGCACAATTATTATTATCAGGAAAATTTATGATCATGGTAAATAGAGTTAAATCTGGCCTCTCTACTTTTTAGGCTCTATGTTGGCACTTCAAACCTTTAATCTCTAACACATTTAATCAGTAGTTAATTATGAAGTTGTTAAGCATTCCTTAATGAAGTATTCTTCATTCCAGGATCTTATATGACCTTTAAAGGACCAACCATTGAAGAAATTTTTTAATAAATTCATTTGTGGGGTAGGGAAAATGCCTAGTAAGATAGTATCTTTTTTTATTTAAAAAAATTTTAAGTTATTATTTATAATTTATTATTTAAATACTTTATTTTTTTTAATTTTTTAATTTTTTTTTAAATACTTTGTTTTTGATGTTTTCTTTTTTTATAGTAAAGTAAAAGTCTCTCCATTCCTCTGGCATTAAAAAAAAAAATGCAGCCTGCCACAGTGGCTAATTCCTGTACTCTTAGTACTCTGGGAGGCTGAGGTGGGAGGATTGCTTGGATTGCTTGAGCTCAGGAGTTTGAGATCAGCCTGAGCAAGAGGGAGACCCATCTGTACTGAAAACAGAGAAACGAGCTGGGCCTTGTAGTCCCAGCTACTTGGTAGGCTAAGGCAAGAGGATGATTTGAGCCCAAGAATTTGAGGTTGCTGTGAGCTGTGATGATGCCATGGTACTCTATCCAGGAGATTTTCTGTATTTCTCGCAGTTACCTCATCAAATTTTAGTGTTCCATTCAGGTATACATTTTTCTAATATATAGCGTTCTTTTCTTCTTTTTAGGTTAAAAAACTTTTTTAAACTTCTACCATGTGCCAAGTACCTGTACAATTCTGCTGGATTTTTTCAACAGTCTAGGAAGTAGATATATAATAAATAGCCCCATTTTAAAGATGAGGGGAATGAGGTTCTGAACAAAAGGGACTTACTCAAAGTCATATGGCCGATAAATGGCAGAGCCAAGATAGGACCGTGGGTACATTTTACCTCTGAAACCATTTTTTTCTCCTCTATCATGGATATAGTATCTTTTCTATTTAGATTTTCCACTGCTGTAGTTTAGAGGTAGCTCTGAGTTCACCAAATCTTGTTGCTATTCCTAAGGTTATTATTATTATTATTATTGCAGTTTTTGGCTGGGGCTGGATTTGAACCTGCCACCTCTGGCATGTGGGGCTGGTGCCCTTCTCCTTTGAGCCATAGGCGCCGCCTATTCCTGAGGTTATTTTTACTTGCCTTAGATTTACTTTCATTTTGGTGAGGTGAGAAAGTACTCTTGA